GTAAACTCTTTAACTGCGTTAGGATAAAAATCAAAAGCACAATCACAAACAGAACAGTAACTAGAATTAAATAGCTCTATTTTTCCCTGTTTAATGTTTTTTAAAGTATAAGAACATGTTTGCGTTTAAAAAAAAAAGGTTTGGATGAGCTTAGTGGTTTCAGTGGTAAAGATCTTTGAAACGAAAAGCAAATAATGTTTTAAAATGTCATTTTAAGACAATAACTGACCATAAGGCTCAATTGTAGATATTGTATTGCTACTTATTCTTGATGCTTAAAGTTTTGCCTATGTCCACAATAATAAGCAAACAAGCTGAAATTGGTAAACAATCGTAATTGAAGGGCAGAAAATCATGTAAGGAGTCGTTTGACATCTTCAGTTACTTTTATAGAACTTAATTAATTTCGTTGTGTGTGCAATCTGTTATCTGTCTACTTATTGATTCTTTTTTAAGATTAGAGGCAAACATGTTTCAAACGGTCAGAAATCTCTTATTTATGGTCAATTGATTGCTTATGTCAGTAGGTATATTATCGTAACATTTGGTATATATAGAGTTCAAGTATTGCTGATCAAATTTACCTTTACAGTTTAGGCTTACATAAAATAGTTTTCAAAACAAGAATATATGCTTATATGACACCAATTGTCCAATCATATTTCCATGTTCTGTGAACCATGAAATCGAGTCCAAACCGTAAATTTACATTATATTTTTCAATTGGCGAATATTTAAAATTGATAAAAAAAATCGACTTTAGTTGATTTCTTTGTAGATCTTGTATTGCTGACCTTTTTTGTTGTATACAGTTTCTATTTTATTAAATTATCTATTAGAGCTTTCACAATAACAGACACAAATTCACAAAAAAAATTGATAAAAGAATCATCGTTAAATGGCAGAAACTCTTAGAAGGTGACAATTGATAATGTCACTGTATAACCTTTTTGTAGATCTTGTATTGTTGATCATTTTGATAGTTTCTATCTAAATACTACAGTTTATCAGTAATATGTTAAAGCTAAAAAAATTTCAGACATCGTCATTAAAGCTAAATATATCCTATAAAGACGCGTATGATAATTTGGGTGGAATTAGAGAATAAACAGATTGTGCGATATAATTTTATGTGTCTGTTATGGTTTTCAAGATAAAAGAAAAAATATGATGTGCATTTCATAGTAATTGTCTTTGCCATGATCCTCTGCAATGCCCAATATAATTCAAAGTTAACGAACAAACCCTACGATTTCATCAAACTATAATTAAGCGAACTGATGTTCGCCCCAAAAAAATGCAAAACACAATGATTGAGCAATAACAGTATATTATAACTTATTAATCCAAATACAAAGTGTTGAAATGACGATTAATCGACGTAAATAGCGGGATGTGAAACAGTATTTTGTTTTAAATTTTCTGAAGTTTGAATTTTACTATCACTACAAAATGTCTATCATGTCTATATTTGTGAGAAATTTTGTCAGTTTTTTTATCAATATACTTGCCTGTAACGTATCTTAGTTATGGAAAAACTATGTTCATTGAAAACATTCATTTATCGAGTCAACTAAGATATGTACACTCATAACTCATGACTATTTAATTATAATCTATTTTAAAGAAAATATTATTGTCATGTTATGTACTTGATCTGTGTTGATGGCTGTTACGAAAGAAATATGTCTAGTTAATTTTGCAAATATTTTCCAACATAAATATTTGATATTTAAAATATAGATAGGGATGTAACTGGATAATCCTTTTTTTTTTCTTTTTTTTTTCCCTTCTTCTTTACTCTTAACTCCAATCTGTTAATTATCATTATTTATTTATTTATTTATTTATTAATTTTTCTATTTTTTATTTTTTTATCTTTTCAATAGAAAATGTAAAATATTTCCAATTTAGATGTATTTATATTAATGACATTGTATATATTCTTATTGTATTATATTGTATGTATGTCATGTATATGTTGTATTTGTTGGAAATAAAAAAATCAAAAGTTAAAAAAAAAAAGATATGTACACTCCCTAACAAGGACAACTGAGCATCATAATCAAGGAAAAGAAAATAAGTAAAGGAAAGAAAGCGTTGTCATAAATGCTTGTATAAATATTATCATTAAAAATGTCATGTAATTGTATGATTTCATTTTATAACTAAATAAGCTTTAGGACTATAGCCTTAAAAGTGAGGTGAAAGATACCAAAGGGACATTCAAGCTCATAAGTCGAAAATAAACTGAAAACACCAAGGCAAAAAATGAAAAAAAGACCAACAGACAAACAACAGTACACAAAACACAACATAGAAAACTAAAGACTGAGCAACACGAACCCCAACACAATCTTAATACAAGTCAACAAAAAAGTTGATCAACATGTTCAAGCTTTGTTTTGTGTTTTAATACCTTTTCAGAATGATCAAATGTAATCTGTACAATATTTGTAGCAATTGTTTTTAAACATTTCAACGTCCCATTGTATGATTTTTAAACCAACAATTTGCAGCATATTACAGCACTTTCGCAAACACAAGAGCAAAATATTAGAAATACTACCAAATATTAAGACTGTTAAATAGTTTTGATTTGAGTTCGTATAATGTATATGTTTCAAATCGTGAAGCGATTTGAGCTTTGTTCAAATTTAAGGTGCCGTTTATGTTCTACACTCTGTATGTCCGGCGCAATCAAATAAACCACTATTTTGCAAGATTTTGTATCATCTAATCCATAATTATCAAGGGTTTGTTTCAGAGCTTTCGCCTTGCTTTATGTCTATATATGGGTGTTCATGTGATGGCGTAGTTGTACAATCAATATATAAGTAGAATTTAGTTGATTCGACCTTTCCATGCTATCCGTATACTGTAAACCAACTATTTTCGCGAGCGATTTTTTTCGCGACTTTCGCGAGTAAAAAAATAACGCGAATATAAATCGTCGCGAAAATTTAAAACTTATCTAGGTACATCCAGTGAGTTTGAGAATCGCGAAATTAAATCTCCGCGAAGTGGGCTAGAAAGGGCTAAACGCGAAATAAAGTATCCGCGAAAATAAGTCGGTTTACAGTATTCCGTTATCTTAAATCTTATTACTATTAAATTCATTCCCGCTAACATTTGTGACCTCTTTATGAACACAGAAAATTTACAAAACAGAAACAATCTTGCTAGGTCAATTGTATCCTTCGGATGTTGTAAAAATCACAAAATTATTAAAATGATCAAAGTTTAAACAGCTTTCCATGGTGTATTGTCAAATCTTCATTTACTTTGAAATACGTTTTAAAATTTATCGGATAATTATGTAACATTTGTTGATTACAACTGATACGAAATTCAAAAAGATTAATATTGATATTTTGCAAGCTAATGTATGGTGAACATCTGACGAGTGTCATACCTTCTCCCCGTTGAAATGTAACTGCCGACGAGTTTCTCTGAAGGAAATGCCAACTTTTTTTTGTCCAATAAGAGCATGTCAACACATTTGAAGCGGGTTTTTTTTTTTTGGGGGGGGGGGGGGGGTGGCAATAAGGCAATATAAAATTAATTGAAATAATTGCCACTTGATTGATTGATTGGGTATTGCTTTACGTCGCATCAGCGCAAAAGGCTATATCATGGTGAAAGTAAGTCAATTGTCTCAAGACATACTGGGGAACAATATGTTAAAATTCAGACATAATATTATTGAAGGCACGATACTCAGTTGTGGACTTTGTAAGAACAAAGTGTAAACAACGGCATAACCATATCTGTTTTTTTTTTTTTTTTTTTTGTGGTTTTTGCTTAGAATATGCATGTTAATTGAAAATGGTTCCGTTGATGAGTAACGTTTTTGAACTCGGTCCGTTAATTGGTCAGTTGAGAGTTAACTTTGCGAATTTGCTTTTATAAGACTGCAGCTGTTTAATACTTTAAGACTTAACGAATATATCCTTTAAAATTGAAACGAAAACAATTTTAAAACATGTCTTTCAATTTTTCAATTGTGTTTATATGATATATGTACGTGAACGTCATTGGCAGCGGGAGATTAGGTCCACTATTTCAAACACCTCCGATAAGAAAATGTGATATACTTTAAATCTGTGACTCGAGCAGCACTGAATGTTCAGTCCAGCTACTAACATGAACCTTCGTATTGAATGAAATAATGAATAATGAATAAAAATATCGCCAGGTCAACGGAATACCAAAAAGGTCAGGATAAGCTCGGTCGTATGCTCATATCTGTATGGGTGAACGAGAACACCACCTTCATCTCTCACATTATTCTTTACCGCCGTCTCCTTCATTTCATTTCATTTTCGACATTAACATGCATTGGGATAAACCTGAACAGGATCGAATTATTTTCATTCAACATGCCATTAACCCTCATCACACAATAAAAATTACTTAATATTAAATCTCTATCTATTAGCTCATATTCCTTGACATAATTACAACTACATCACGTAAAGAATGGAGTAATTAAAACGAGCTTGCACTGCAACCCAGTGACAAACACCAACAACTTTCTCCGAAGAGTTTACATCTATATATAGCAGTTTACTGAAGCATTTCAACAGTCGGTGCTTCAGATAAATTCTTATCAAAGGTCTTTCTCGTGTAAACAACATCATTCGATAACAGTTTATTTGGTATTTTTTACTTTTTTGAGTCTTTTGTAGACGAAACGTTCGTCTGGCTTGGTATCTTTAATGAGTTTATGTATACTTATAACATAGGGGAACATGTTATTAAACAATAGAATCGCATTTGTGCTTCCCTTTGATCCAAGTTTTGATAAATTGTCACACATAAACAACGATAAATTAGAATCCCTCAACTACATGTATTAGATTTTCCTCGAAATTTCTGCGCTTGCTTTTCTAAGTCCAAAAAGTCTTAAAGGCTTGTCAGGGTTGAGTGTCCTTCTAAACCAGGATCTTTATCCACGTTCACTAAATAGGGGCGTGGTACCAACATTTTCTATACCGGTACCAGAACGACTCACGTCATGATCTTAAATGTCTTTAGACATCGAAGGGCTGTTATTCTCTGATATTCTGCAATGTATGTGTTAAGTGTTGTAGCATCTGCATTTCAATCTGTATACGGATGTTCACTTTGGCTTGAATCAATCCTTAAAGGTTGATATGGATTCAAATATCCTGGTCCGTTTGTATGTTAGCTAGATGAATTGCTATTTTCATTAAGGTTCCTACGAAACGACGTTGAAGTAACAGATAATTCATTTGTCATATGGGATTGCATTTCAAACATTATCCCGGCTGAGATGTTTTGCGCACCGATAGACGTAACAGGGATACCTTCATTGTTCCTTTCTAGATTTGCATGCATATCTACGTATTGGCTTTCTTGGTTCTCACCAATATGCCGAATTCTATGAGACTTCAGGACATTTGTAGTTTGATCTTTCTTTGCAAGGGTATTCCTAACAAAGTACACAGTTATACATGAAAGGAGTACAGCAAGTATCGCAGAAAGTATGTATATTATCAATAGCAATCGCTCATTAGACAATTTGGAATCACGTTTTACTTGACTATTATCTGTAAAAAGATAAATTTTCTACATAAATGATTTAGTGATTATATTGAAAATATAATGATAATGAGAGGTTTTTAAATGAAATGTAATTCTCTGAGTTCATGTGTTCTTTTAAATAATTTTTAAAGCATTTAAATTTGGCAATTCTTCTTGTAATTTTGTTCGGTAAATATAGTATCTTGTAACCAAAATAATCTTATTTTTAACAAAATTCAATTTAATATTTTCGAAGTTACCAAATAGAATAATTTTGATAATGAAAGGTAGTTCAAAAATTGTCATTTCAAAAATCCAGTTGTTTTGTGCATGCCAGAGACTGGAGACCATATGACAACTCCAAAATAGATGTTCTATGGTCATTGGTTCATCTTTACAAAATTTACATATATTGCTACTACTAATTTTCATCTTGTAAAGTTGTGTATAAGTTTTCAAAATTCTATGGATAATTCTATATTGGAACCAGCAAAGCTTTGTGTGTCTAGTATATTTTGTACACGAAGTGTGTATTTTTTCCCATTAGAATTTTTAAAGTTTCCACTTTTTAGGATGTATCAAGTCGCAGTATATTATAATTTTATCCGAGATTGCTCTGACAACCTGTTTAGATTTTCAATGGACAATAATGGAATATCTCAGTCAGCATTCCTATTTATACTTTAAATCTCACTGATTTGGTCTTTTCTGTGAATTTACTGTTTTAAAATGCTGAATAATTCGAAACACAAAGTTTTTTCTATCCCATGCATAGATGGTCTTTGTCCAATTTGGCACAACTTTTTGGAATTTTTATTCAATGCTCGGCATCTTCGTATTCGATTTGAATATTGAAATGAAAAATTAAGATTTTTCAAATTGAAATCACATTTTTAAAAAGAGGTTAAAGGTTCGTATTTCTCAGTTTTGTGTTCTCTGTAGTGTTTTGTTGTTCGTCCTTTGTCGTTTTTGCGTTGTTTGTCACGGCGTAAACAGTTTCTTTTCGACTTTTGAGTTTTTAACATCCTCCGGTATCTTTCGCCTCTTTTTGAAATGTATCATTAACTGTTACGCACGTTTACATCTTTGTATCGAGTAAAAGCTCGTTTCAACATGCATGTTCATACCTTCCAAATCAAAAATCCAAATGACTGCTTATTTTTTTTTTTTTGAAAATGTCATTATTGCTTTAGAAATGTTCAAAGTTACTAGCAATTAAAAGCCTTTTTCTACTATAGAGCAATCTATCTTCCGAGTGGAAAGATACAGTAGCTTGTGTCCATAATTTTCAATTTGAATGGCCAAAATGGCGCGCTCAATTAAATTACAAAAGACCTACATCTTGTGTTATGTTGTTACGCCTCTATTCCAGGTTAAAGAGAAGGTTGAGCGCTCTTTAACATTTAAAATCCCACCACATCCTTATGTGACCGTCTAAAGCCGTAACCAGTAATTTATATTCTTTGATTGTCATTGGTTTCTGCGTGTGAGTTTTGTTTTGTTCATTGTTGTAGTGTAAAACAGACTGTTGTTTTCTCTTTTGCATTGTTTTACATTCTGACATACCGCGGAGCCTTTCATAGTTTACTTAACGGTATGGGGTTTTTTCTTATTGTTGAAGGCCGCACATTCACATATTTGTCCTGTTTTGTCTTTATGGATAGCTTTCTCATTGGCAATCAGATCATATCTCTTTATCTTTATATAAAATGGATTAAGTTAAATCGTTTTACCCGAAACACTATTGCTGATTATGTTGGAAGCGTTGTCCGTAGTTAGAAGAAAATCTGATCTGAAATATTTAAAATATTTTACCATTTATTATCTAATAGGTAATATGTGCAAATGATATAAGAACATTAGTCAAATAACCCACCTTGTCCCCTTTAAAACATTAACCCCCTTTAAAAACCAAATCAACAACACAGAACAAAATGAAACAGCAACAATACCCACACCAACATCAACATAAACAACAGCAAACAAACAAACAAACCACAAACATCTAGAAAATTAAAACATTTTTAGAATCTCAAAATCATAAAATGCAAACATTCATATAACTTCTAAAATGTACTTAACTCCTTATTGTGTCTATATTTAGCCATTAAATTCCAGAAAGGATTTTAAACAGTTATTATTCGGTTTGTTTTTTGGTAAATCTTTTGTTTTTATTTCAAGCTGGATTTAAACATGTCATGAAATGCTATTGGATAAATCATGCACTTTTCCTGCTTTATCATCAAAAAAGTTTTAACTGGTTCTATATTTTTTTTAATTTACCATTTTGCTTTGACCATGATATCTTGGTGTTGATTAAATACATAGTTTTATGTTATGATTCACATTGCTGACGTATTACATTTTTTTCAATTTCGTTTGTTGTGTGCTTTAATGAAGGTACATTACATCAATTGGGTGAAATTTCTTTCAATTTTATATGCCTACTTTATTCACTGACTCTAATAGGAATCTTAATCGTTATTTCTATGGAAGCTGGTAATATTTTTAAATTGATAATTTTCGGTTATATCAACTCTTCAACGTTTGTATTAAAGTTTGGTTTTCAAAATAGTTTGGCCTCGAGAATTACTGAAGAGGATTATTTCTCCAAATGTGGGGTAAAATTAGTACCATAGAATGTTATTATTCATTGACTATGTTCGTAACCCTTATATCTTAAAATTACTTAGACCACACGTTTTTTTTTCCAATTCTGTCATATTCCTTTATTCATTAACTGTAATCTTACATAGTTGCATATGAATTCGTCGTCGTGCACTGACTTTCTGTACTGTACATCAATTTGAATCCTAAATTCAAAAGGGAAGATAAAGATACACATACCGACCTAAACACAATACTTAATAAATAGTTAAACACTGTTAGGTCAAAAATCATAAATTGTAATTTTCAATCTTATGAAAATTGTTATGGTTAAATGGAAAAAAAACATGTTCGTTGGATCTTAATGTAACCCCTTCCCCATAACACCGATACCGCTGACCGGTGAACATAATTTTGCGGTGAAAGATTTGATTTTAAAGTGTCCATCTTTTCATTGTTCTAGGACTCAGTGTGTAACGAGTGCTTGTCGTGTTGTCGCTGTTCTCAGTATTGAAAACCCTAATTTCCAAATAAGGGACTACTAATGGACGGATTTAAGTGAACACAACTTAAAAAAAATCATGAGGATTTTTTTATTTGGTTAGGTGATGTGAACGCCCGTGAGTTTTGATGTAAATGTAGCTACGCCACTGTTCGTATACCAACCACCTTTACTTATCACCTTCATTACTCGTATAGTTTGTTGTATTGTAAAACTAATGAATTGGAAGAAGAGAATGTTCAAACATACAAATTTTACTCCGAATGCACTTACTATACTCAATTATAACATTACAGCTAGATGTAACTATACACTCGTTTTCAAACTGGAGGAAACAAGGACTAGTGGAGAGCATTCGTGGTACATAATTTTGAGTATGATCACAGTAACAAGTTATGTCCCTTGTTGTACTTCCGGTGCTACACATTTTCATTCCATCTCCCGTGCAGCTACCTTTTTGGATTTTACAATGACTTGGTCCATTGTCGTGGTAGCTGTTAGATGTATAATCATATGGAATGAAATATTCATCTTCACACGGAATCTCTTGTATTACATTTTTACGTAAGTTATATCTAGGTCTGTGTCCTGAAAAAAATTAAGAACATCAGTTTATTTTATTGAAAATGTATTATCTTGTCCCAAGACAAACATATGTTTCAAACAAAGTTTTATTGTAAGCTTTTCTGTATTCCCCTTCTTCTTCCACTGATAAAGATAAAAAATTCGAAGGTTTGATACAAAAACAATTATTTTGATCCCGAAAAATATTTATGCTCTTGTCCCAATATTTTGCAGAGTATTGCTAACCTCTGCTAAAATAGACACTTTATCTATAGACTCGGATTTGGAGCTTCAAGATAGGTATAAAAGATTGTACGTTATACTCTGCATATCTGTTCCGCTCTTATTTGTTGTTGTGTTGCTATCTCATTCAGGTTTTTCCACTATTTCTAAAAACACATCGCAGAATCCTATTTATTCACAATATCAGATTTAAAGACATTATTATGCGAATTTTTTTTAGGTTCATACCTAAAATCGCTCTTAGACTTAGATTGCAATGGAAGAGTAATTGTCACGAATAGGATCAAGCCATTTATTCAAATAGATCCATTACATAATTAGTTTACATTTTGTACCAAAGAACCAGACACTTGCTTCATCATAATGCCGTGTATCTAAAACTGAATGCAAATGTTTACAAATAGCCGAAGTCGCATTTATCAAAATATAACGTTTTTTTTCACTTCACGCAAATATCTTCTGGTCTAAACTATAAATCTTCAATTTTGGAAGCTTCACTCTGTATTTCATATCAAAGACTCGGAAAATTTTGATGGTAAAATTTAACAAATTTGCCATTTGCCGTTTTCAATTGTTTTGCAAACAAAGTCATAACGACCTTATTCCAATTAGATTGAATCTGAAATTAATATGTGATTTAAAAGGGTAATTTATTACATTGTAAAATATGCCTATACCTCCAAGATACAAGAATGATTCAATTCAAAAATATATTACTGGTATTTCTGATTGTCGTTACACAAACAACAATCCATAATTCAGAGATACCAGGAATAAAATGATATAGATGTGATATGATAATTTCTTGTGAGTGTTTCCTGTTAGTTTCCTGTTAGTTCCCTGTGATATTTATTCTTGATAGTTTTTCCGAGATAGTTTTGCAGTTAAATAGTTCATTTTAATTTGATTTTTCTGATAATATATCTTCTGAAGTTTGTTTACCTTTAGATATATTTAACGGCCACATACAACATTCAATCAGAGTCTGAATGTCTGTTTCCAAACAATGGTAGTGGTCACTGTTTTTAACTTTTGACGAGATTCAATAAGCCATGCGTTAGAACTTCTTGGACATGTAAATACATTCTCCGGTTCCAGACATCTTTGACAATAGACTCCAATTACATACGAAATAATCAGTGTGTAAAGGTGCTAAAAAACAAAATTCACTTTTGATATTTGTCAAAATTAATTCAAAGATTCATTGATAGATCCATTTCAAATTGAAATATTTAAAACACAAACAACCAAAACGCAGTAATATAAATTGAGCGAGCACACTCAATATAATACTTCCATGCCTAGACTTAGAACATTGTGATCACCCAACTCTATAGTACAGCGTGCACACTTTCCCCTAGTAATGGACTTCTGATTATATGTATTTACTAAAAAAAAAATGACATGAAATAAACAAGAAGATATGAAATTCGAGAGGGCACATTTTTTTCCAACTTGAATCGTTTTGATTTTAAAATGCCGCACTAAACGATGTCAGCACTTTCATTCATGAAACAAATACTCTCTCATTGATTGTTTTATTTTCACTTCATACTCAAAAATATTTCTGCATAAACTTAAAAATTCAGCATACATACTAAATTGATTTTAGGATTTGCTTAATTGAATTTAGTATTTCCAAAAATGAATTCAGGAAATATTATATTGAATTTAGCACATACTAAATTATAATTTAAAATGTACTTAATTTTAATTAATTATATACCTGTAACCAATATATTAGTTGCAGGTATATACCGAATTGACTTCAGTATATGGTAAATTGAATTTAGTATATTCTCTACTCAACATTTATTGCCTTGATTCCGCTTCAAAGATATGGGTGCCATAATGTTGTTTATTTGAACTGCAAAAAATCACGCGTTTTTTGGGGTTACTTATTACTTTTTTTATAACCAGTAAGTTTAACAACCATTTCATGAGAATAAATAAAGCTTAAAGGACATTTAGATAGCACATCTTATCATCCTCCAATTCTAAACAAGATAAGGGTTTCGATTAAAATGTTAGGAATTTAAAAACATTTTATCATAAGGTTTTTAAGTAAATCTCGTGGAAAAGAAATAACCATCTATATCTTTTATTAAATACTTAGTAGGATATATAAGTTAATTGCATGTGAAGTATAATAAATGGCAATCGTCCTGTATCAGCTATCCGTGCAGATCAGAGGTCTTGTGTGTATATTGGTGTCTCAGGTGGATACGGAGTTAAGGTTTAAAAGGCCATATAATATTCTCTATGTTAAACACTTCAATGAACCTCCTAGCAACGATAAATAGTAGCTATGCAATATATAATTACTCAATATATTGAAGTTCCCAGTAACTTACATTGTACTACACTACAAATAGGTTCTTCTTTTTCTGCCTCGATCGTGATCTCGTTGAATCATGCTCGCCTCACGTGTGGTAGGTTGTTAGTTTGATCAGTACCGGGCCAAACCAAATTAACATTTGTACATTGTGATTGCTACTTCTTTGCTACCTAACCAGCATTTATTAGTATGTACAAAGGCTAGTTTACTCGAAATCAGAATAATGTGTCTAATTAGGTGATATGTCTTCCTGCTGACTGGTATTTTTGAACAAGCAAATTAAAAGGACGGCTCTGAGTGTCAGTCATGTGCAAAACAGGATTCATATATCGCAATAAAATGTTCTTGTCCTGATATGCATGTAATATTCGCCACTGGAAGTTAAACACCACTCTATCATTATCATATTCGTTTTCATATACTTATGAAATATATTATCTATTTAACTCATCATTTTTATGCTGCATCACATGCTAACAAAAAACAGATCGAACTTTCTTATCATATTATGATTTGTGACATCAATTCAAAAACAGCGGATACATTTCCAAAGTTTACACGGAAATTGTATTTAAGGGGAACATTAATTTATTTGAAAATTGAGTTTACAATTATTATTCTCAAATTATCAATCGAAATCTACTTATTGTTATTGTATGAACACAGACGTGACTGTATGCAATAATAAAAAGCGGAAACAGTCCAATATACGAACTATATCCGCAAACAGTTGTCCCAAAAATATGTCATTATAAGCAAATTCAACACGCACTCCATGTTAACCTAAAGTTTAGATAACTAGTTAGAAGCATTGATTCAATTCTGTTTTAGAGAACTGTCTGGAGAATCATATTGTTCAGGGAATTATAAGAATATCAGACACAGCGTTTATACGGATGGCCAACTTATGATTCAAAGTTTTAAACAATTATATCACCACATGACTTTTAATGCAGTTTCACACGTATTCAACTTTGAGTGGCATTTTAATCATTGCATGAAGTCTTTATACTAAATCAATTGTCTGTGTACTTATTGATAATTTAGCCTCTAATAGTTGAAAGTTGTGTTAAATGTTATTTGCTTTAACTAGTTGTCAGTAATTGCAAGTACTCTCAGATCGTAACTTTGTGTCTCAAGTCTTTTTGTTTATTTTTTTGTGTCGTTTGTGTAGATCTGATAAATCAAGACTTTTCCAAATGATTTTTTGTAGTATGTTTTTATATTGTACTTTTACACCACTGTCGCTGGTTAGGGGACGGTTGAGCGCTCACAAACATATTACAACTCGCCACATTCTGTATGTTCCTGTAATTCATTGGTTATCAATTGTTGCTGTATATCATATTTGTTTTTTGTTTTTTGTTTATTGCTATTTACAGAAATCAGACCATTAGTTTTCTCGTTTTACATTTGTCATGTCGGGATATAGTTTGCTGAACGATATTGGTCGTACGGTTACATATTTTGCAAACTTCTCCGTCATTACGTCTCTGGTAGGAAGTTGTCTCATTGGAAATTATACCACATCATCTTATTTTCCTTTTTAAAAAAAGCAGAAGATATCAATTACGTGAGCTCCATCCTATGATCTGTTGTGAAAACTTTATACTGCAAGCCAAGTGTTTGGTTAACCTATTAAGTAAGTGTATTTGTATTTGGCTTTATCAAAGTGCAAAGCAAAAGTTCGAGTTTTGAATACTAATTTGAAGGGAAAAAACGAATCTATAATCGAGTAACCTAAACGGGTAAAGAAACTGCGACCTTAGTTTTAAATCCCTCACATTATTTAATATATAAACAATGACAACTATTAACAGGGTTCCTTACTTAAGCACACTTTAGTATATATAGGCACATGCGTAATATAAATGAAACAGTCTTCTTGTACATTTTAAGATTATAATGAGATTCCGTAGTAAAATCTGTCAAATATTAATGTAGTTTAGTTTAATCATATTTTATTGTTCAAAAAGGACAAATTGATAAGACACAATATTTGTTTAACTTAGTAACGTCTTCTCCGAATATTAATGTACGGCTGCCTTCCCAAAGCTAGGAACATCAACACCGCCAATGATTGTCATATCTCCGTGCCTCTGGTATCTTAAAGATTTAGTATGTATGACAAATTTTGCTTCGGACTGCTAATCTATTTACTACTTGCATAGACTCTGAACGACATAGAGCTTCAGCACCTAGAGAAGACACGTGTCTATTGTTGAAGGATTTGTGTGCATAGAAAGTCAATGAAAACACTAAAGAGGACAATAACAAATTATTAGTAATAATAGTTTATATAAAAAAATCACATCTCCTTGGCCAAAAAGGGAAAAAGACAAAAAGACAACCAACAGTAACATAACATTACTAAGAAAATATTGGGCAACACGACCCCCACCAAACCTCCATGGATATGAACTCCGAGTTCTCAGGTAGTACTACTATTGGAGCCCGTCATGCTACTCAAAGAAATAAAAATCTGTAATAAATTGCAATCGATTTTAGATGTTTTTTCTCTTTTTATTGTACTTATAATTATAGGGTTGTTGTCTCATCGACGGAGAAACTACATCTCTTTTCATTTTTTTAATTCAATTAATGTATGACTATAATCGATAACGGAACACCCACTCACTAGTCCCTGTTTCAAGCGTAGTCTCCCGATTTACCGCTTATACTGTCAGTAAACGAAATCTCAAAGTACAATCAATTTGCTAAATAATAATCGTGAATTCTTTGAAATATTTATGACAAATGCAATAAAATCGAAGACATTTCTGAGACACATGGTAAAATGTTCAGGTCATTGAAGACTTTGCTTACGTTTTTTCTGAATAATATCGAAACGCTTTAAATACATTATGCCAAGTTATCAACCATGATAAGACAGTAACAAAACATATTGTTATGTTGTCTTTAATGTCGAGTGTTCTAAGCAAAGGTATTGGAATAGACTAAGATTTCTTTGAGATCTCGGAAACCTTTCTTGAAAAACAAACTATGCTGCAACACATCATAACAAACTATACCTTGTATGTTGTGTCTGGCATAACTTTTCCAAATGCGTATATGTTGTGTATATAAAAAGATGAAGAACGGTAATAAAACTTCATTTTGATGATTAGAAATCCAAGTATTTCAATGTATAATCCGATAAACATTCGCCCCGCAACCTTTCAAAAAAGTAAACTGTATAATATATTTTATAGTTTTGAGTATCACCATGGTCGAAAGTTCTTTTACCTCAAATTATGTTTAACATAGACACCATAACATATTCAATGATTAAGTGTACTCTCTGTATGATATTTCCATTATGTCTTCATCTCAATCAAATCCATGGAATTTATCAAATGTTAAATAGTTTATATTATAAAGTTCTACAAATTGGTCTCCACAAATAAACAAGGTCTTTTCTGATATGTCCAACCAGATATCACACAATCTTCTTATTCTATCGCACTTGCCCAGTATATTTTTTCTATGTTTCCCATCTTCAGATATCAAATGTATGCTCCCAGTTTCATCCCCGGGGAAAACTATACCACGATAGTTGACGGTTACGCTGGTAACTTTTTTCATTTCATCATCTTTGAAAGAAAATATTTTTCCGTCAAGTGAAGTACTAACAACCTTAGAATCTTTTGTTGTATGTACTAAATGTTTGTTTTTTACTGTGCTTATCCAGAAGGCTTTGGGGTATCACAATAGCAATGGCTAAAACAGTTTACCAAATTGCAGTTTGAATTCTTCTCCAACAAACTGATCAACTGGTAAAATATTTAAACTATTTGCTTCAGTGAATGGTTGTTAGTTTGAAGTGAGTGCAATGAAATAAAAAGTAAACTTCTAGCCTAAATACATTTAATAAATATTAGTTCAAAATAAAGGCAACAGTAGTATACCGCTAAGTCATAAATCGATTGAGAGAAAACAAATCCAGGTTACAATCTAAAATCGAGGGAAACACATCAACTATAAGAGGAAAACAACGAAACAACAGAAACACTGAAGTGAACAAAAAACAAACGACAATGCAACACACACAGAAACGAACTATAAGATAACAACTGCCATTTTCCAGTACAGGACATTTTAAGAAAAAATGGTGGGTTGAACCTGGTTTTGTGGCTAGCCAAACCTCCCGCTTTTATGGCAATGTTAAATATAACACTAAAATGACAACATTACATGACAGGAATAAGGTACAAATAAATGCAAGAACATTCAGGACAGAGAAATACACAAATAAACAATACAATTGTACATTTCGACATGCTAACCACAGAATAAAAACTAACACGTAAAACAACATAGGACAGCACATAAAAACAGCACAACAGAACAACGAACTGTCTTTCAAACGACTGGATCAACGCCAGAAAAGTGACGTCACAGGTAAATTTCTAAAAATTTGATACAGTTCAAGATCAGGTTTGTAACTATGTCATTTGATGTATTTTATAACAGTTACAAGAATATTAATATAGAATTGTGTTAGTAATTAGATAATTAATTGTATTATCTAGCTATGTCGGTATTTCTTCTAAATCAAACTGTAAAACAAATAAATCGTGTACTTATAGTTGCTTTAAACTAAAATCTTATAAATGAACTGGGTGATTAATTATCTTTACTTCACATACGAATAGAAAATAAAAAAAAATAGAATTACAACTACAAACGATAAGACATTAAAAAATATCCGATCAGAATTACAAATACAACATCATGAATAAATACATGAATGTTTGATAAACAAATACCGTGTCACGTCTTATAGAAATGCGAATTCACACTCAACAAAACAGTCATATTCGGGAATAGGTCATGTTCGGTACTTAAAAGACCAGACGACGTAAATGGTAAACCACAATCTAAGATGTGGTAAAAATGTCCCTAGTTAGTTTGTTTTGTAGGTCAATAATTTATAGCTTTGTTTTCTAACAGTAAGTTAGTGCGTAATTGTAATTTGGATATTTTTTTCTAAAGCAATTACTAATATGCTAATATTAAAGGGAAATAATTTTGCATTACTCTAAAATCAGCAAAACTTTGTTCTGTAAACTATCAACTTCCTTCATTTTATAAGTAATTTGTTTGTTACATTATGTCCATGATTATTAAACTATCATTCTCTGTTCTGAAAAGAACACTGAAATTTATTTTTGAGATGATTAAAATTTTGAAAAAAAAACCTTTTATTATGGGACACAATCAAAGTTCTATCAATAATTCAGATTTCTCTGTAAATAAATAGGGTATCACCAGTCCAGTAGCTCAGCAATTCTGTGTTGACATGAATTTTCATTGATATGGTAAAAATTATAGATTAACTGTTTTGCAAAACTTTGAATTGTTCAAAATACTAATGATTTTCTACCACCGAGGATTAGATTACTTATAAGCAGTATTAAGCAATTAAAACCTTTCGGAATTTTGTTTCCTCAATGGTCTTCAACTTCATACTCACTCGGCATTTCAATTTTGTTTATTAAAGTCGTATTGATGAATCTTTTGTATGCAAAATCGTAAGCCTGGTATCTGATTAAATTTTTAATATATATATATATATACAATGACTGAATAAAGTTATTTCCCTTTAATGCCAGCAGATTAGTAATTCTTATAGAAAATGTTATCCAAATCACAATTACACAATAACTTCCTCTTAAAAAACAAAGCTATAAATAATTCACCTAAAAATCAATGTTTTGAACTAATTATTTATAAAATTTATTTAGGATAGAAGTTTTCATGTCAAAGTTAGACCTTTTTAAACCAGTGACTAATATTATAGTAAGTCTTTATTTTGTTTGACCATCTTGACATAGACAACAACTAACTTGAGTTCGATGGTAAGCAATACTTTATAATACACTGCACTCACTTCATATTGAAGCAATTTTTAAAATATTTTACCAGTTGGTCAGTTTGTTGGAGAAGAATTTACACTGCAATTTGGTAAACTGTTTTAGCCACTGCTATTGTGATTCCCCAAAGCCTACTGGATAAGCACAGTAAATCAACGAAAGTCCCATCAAATCTGTACAATCTGTGTCAGTTGTGAAAGCGGTTAGCAACATTCCATTCTGTTTTAAGTTTATTTTCATGATTCCGCTTCAAACGACCATATACAGATAATTATCATGAATACAAACACCACCGTTATAAGGCATTCCTGATTTTATCTATACAGTCCGCCAAAAGTTAAGCACCACCTAAATCTAACTGTCAATATTTTTTTAACTATTGCGAAAAAAATATTTATGTTTGGTGTTATGAATTGCCTATAGCATACACTAAGAAAATTCATTACGACAAAAAAAATTCCGGTATACCCGCCAAGCAACCTTTTATCAAAGGTCATCTGCACTTTTACAAATACACTGTTTCGATGCCTTTAAATCATCTTCCTACTGTCCCGCGTACAGGTAAAATTTGACCTTCACCAAGTCACTGTGAAATATGGCAAGCGGTAAGTTATCTGTGACTGAACGTTGACAAGCAATTGACATGTCAAATGCCGGTAGGAGCACTAGGAGCATTGGTAACCATTTCAATGTTAATCGCACCGTCATTATCAGATTTTTACAACGTCATATTGACACAGGAACTGTAAATGATAGACCAAGGTCCGGAAGACCCCGTTTAACTACCTATCGTGAGGACAGACTACTTATTGGTCATGCTAAAGCCAACCCATTTACTCCTACCCCATAGCTTAGACACCACTGGCCTCCAGGTGGTCGTGTTAGTGTTCGAACATTGGTCCGTCGACTTCATAGAGGCTACTTAAGAGCACTTCGTGTTGTCAAAAGACGTGCCCTAACAGCCAGGCACCGTATAATCAGGTTTCAAAGGGCTAATGACCGTCGACGATGGAACATGAGAACCTGGCAAAGAAATAAAACTGCCTATCACCAAAACAACAATTGCCCAACGACAGCAATCGTTGATGGTTGATGGTGGTGTTACAGTAAGGGGTTTCTTCTCATACTGTTGTAAGCTGGGTATGCATATTTTGCAGGGTAACATGAACAGACAGACATACAGGGATTTGTTGCTTAGAAACATTGTAGTCCCTCATTTTGAGAATCCCCAACTTGCGTCAAGACCCTCATAAATGGACGACAACGCTAGACCACACAGGACAAGGATTGTAACCGATTACAAAGATCAAGAAGCCATTGACACTATCTTTTGGCCTTCCATGTCTCCAGACCTGAACCCTATCGAACATGTCTGGGATGCCATTGGCAGAAATCTCAATCGCAGAGATCCACCTTTGCAAAATCTTGGCGATTTAAGAGGAGCAATTGTTGATGAATGGAATAAATTTGCTCAACTAAAGTTCAGAAGGCTTGTACAAAGTGTGAGACGCCGTGTTATGGAACTGTACCGGAAGAGAGGTGGTTACACATCCTATTGACTTTAATATTGACATTAAATTTGCCGAACATACCAAAGATTATTTGTAGAGACTTTTAATGATTTTGGGTGATTAATTGTTGTAAAAAAATAAATTCAAAGTAAAACTTAAATTCCGTTTCTGATATGTGTAATTTTCACTATTTCCAAGAACGCAAAATTCAAATGCATAGAACCTGCATCAGTGACCAAACTTAAGTTGATGGTTTGTTTATGGCATATGTTAGCAAAATTGCTACATGAATATTTTCTCTTTTTCAAGGATTAACTGGTTTTTTTAAATGAAAAAAAAAATCGATGCAACAAAGATAGGTGGTGCTTAACTTTTGGCGGACTGTATATGTTGGTTGCCCGAAGTTTTTGTCATATCTAACACTGTAGAATTCACCTCTGAAAATAGAAACAAAGAATGTTTTATTCTCAGTATCATATGTCAATCGTTTAGAATAGTAGTGTAAAAACCTTCTGCTGTTATTGTTCCTGATGATATATCAGTAACAATCAGCTTGTGTGGCGAGTTATACGTGCAAAGTACCATTGTCTGATCTGAAATACACATTCACCCGCACAAATCATATCCAGAGAGGCAAATATTTGTTCTTCTTTTCAACTGAATAGAATCAAACATTTTACCAGCTGGTAAACTCATATTATCTGATAATACTCCTTCATACTCTCTAATCCATCTATGTTTTGATATTTTGCCAAAATGACATAAAACAATACTAGTATTTTGAGAAGAGGTTAGCTTCGAATGACTTTTTCTTATTCAGTTGTATAAAATGTCCTACCTTTATATGAAAAGCCGATTTCACTAAGCTATTACGGTTAACAATCGATTTTTTTTACAATGTGATTTGATGGGTAGGGTAGATTATATCTAAAATGCTCCCTTTTAAGTTTGTATTGACAGAGATGGCAACATTTCCAAGATAAAAGGGGCTAACGGGTGATCAAACAGGAACTGACAAAACAATTCAAACACATTTTGATAAAGAAAATGCTTACGCGCAAGGGAATACGCATGTTGCCGATCAGCAGTTTTCCGAATGATAAAACCGTCAATGGCAAAGTTAATATTTTGCTATGGTTTAACCCAAAAAAGGAGGAAAGAGCATAAATCGGGGGAAAATTGCAATATGTGTTGCAACCTTTCTACTTTTAAGAATATTACCATGTCTTGTTTCCACACACATTTTAGAAATGTACATAGTTGAGTAGTTGTTGAATTGACAGATGCTTATAAATGACGATAAAATAAGAAACTATACAAGAAGAGAGACTTGACAACAGTATTATATATCACAGTAGCGGCACTAACGGAGAGGACATGAAAAATAGAAACATGAATTTCATGAATATCGACAGCCAGAAATGCAAAGTGTTAGATGTCAGAGAAGCAAATTTTGAAAATTGCTTGAAAATGCAGTGTAAAACAATAGTCAATATTATTAAAGCCAATGCAGAAATAAACGGCATTAAAGGGTATGGAAACTGCTAGATATTCACACACATCCAATTGACTGCATACTTGCTAACAGAAGACGGTGATTACTACAGAGTTTTTGAGGCAAACTGAAAACCTTTAATATTTTGATCAGTATTTTAAGCGTTATAACAAAATTTTTAAATCATATACTTTACACTCTGATATAAAAATAAAAGATTTAGTTAAATGTGATATACCCTAGAAAAAAAAAGTTTTGAGAGGTATATAGGAATCACCTACTCCGTGTGTCTGTCTGTCTATGTATTTTTAAAACGACTGAACTTTACACAGTTGAAGAACAGTACCGGAAGATGTGCATTGTGAATGTCCCTGTGGTATCCTTCACCTCTTTTTTTAGGAGTAAAATTATAGTCTAACTATGAAAGGAGAGATAATCAAAGTTGCCGGCTGGTGGTATTCTTCACTCACATTTATCGTTCAACCTAAAAAGGGGATATCGGGTAAAAGACAATGAGACAATGAGACCGCACTAAACACAACAATACAAAAAATTTCTAAAGGTTAACATTGGTCTTAAACATTATACAAGTGTCTATAGAATATGCCAAGCCCTTAATCGCCTCGAGTCTAAATAAGTCGTGAATAAATTCAAACATAATATTTGAAACCTACTTTTAAAAAGTCTGTAAAGTACATAAAAAAGTTAAAACAGGATATGTTTTCCCTTACGTGTTACATGAGATCGCCCACGGTTATAGGTTTGCTTCATGTCGCCAAGTCTATAATATTCGATACAGTGTCTTTCTAGACTTATTTGTCTTTTCGTCGATTTTAAGTTTTTTGCGTTGAGAGTTTCTATTTGACTAATGAGAATGACTTTGAATGTCACATTGGTATACCGCCACCTTTTTTTAAAGACAAAATAAAATACAACCAATGACGAGATCACGACTTTTACCTATTCATCTAGCAAGGGTCAACTACTTTTTTGAGAAACAAATTTTCTATGTTGTTCATATTCATAGAAAATTTAAAAGATGATTTTTTAATGATAATGATATCTTAATTTGAAGCACAAATTATGTAAACCTAAATGATAAATACATCAAAAGGCTTAAAATGCTAAATTGTCAAAATCGGGATCTATAGGCTAGCTGGTGTACTACAAACAATTTCTAAAGATTCTAAAGGAAAAAACTCCCGAACAATGCAAGTTCTTCTATAATTTTCCTTCTAGATACTCATTTCAAAATATTTATGAAGGATGTATATATTATATTCACATGCATTTGGTGTTTTTGCGTACAAGTAGTGAATGCTATATTTTATGTTTTAACCTCGTTATGTTCACGGACTATACAACCCGTGTATGACAGAGAAAGATATATAAAGGGGTTTTAAAAGTAATTGGGTCATTGATGATAGGAAGAACATGCGATTGTGGTAGAAATTGAAAGGGTCAAAGGAGATTTTATCGCTCACCTGGTATTTTTGCATAATTATATTTGATACAATGCAACAAGAATATGGCGTTGAAAGGAAACTGTCGGCCAAAATCGTGTCTGCTGAATACCAATTTTTTTTCTATTATCTATTTCTTCTTCTTTCTTGATGATAATGTTTTGCGTTTGCTGTTTCAATTTTCTCTTTATCTTTTCTATAGCTTTAAGTTGAAAGCCAAACACACATAAACGGGTAAACAAATTGTTATTATATTTTTTAACAATTTGTTCTTGTTCTGTGATGTTGGAAGTCTGTCCCAAGTAAAGGAGGGGTTTTACCCATCGCTCATAAATACGATACCCCCCCTTTCCCCAACACACACACACACCTAAACCGGCATATTTTGTATGTGCCTGTCACAAAACATTATTCTGTAGTCCATTTTTTGTCGTTGGTTACTGTGTGCCATATTTTTTGTCTTCCTTTTATGCTGTAGTATAAACCAAGCAGTTGGTTTGCTATTTTGAATTGGTTCACATCTTGTTTTCCCGTCCTTTCTATGGTTTACCTATAGTTCACTATAAGGTTTGTGTTTTTCTCATTATTGGAGGCTGTGCAATTTCCTTTAATTGTTCACAGCTTTGTACATTGGTCATTAGGCATCGTTGTCTCATCAATCATGCAAACAGAAAACAGACAAATAAAAGTCCATAAAACACTACATCGTAAATTGAACACAATTAACCAGGGGGAAACTCAGGTGGTCCATCTAGGCCAACAGTTCTTGATCCACTATTGACAACCGGCTTGCTAATCACGTTAATCACGTTAAAATTCTCTGACGAGTAATATTCGAAGATATGGTATACAATAAAGACACAGAGTACTGACCTGGGAGTACCTACAGTAGCGGTTTTGTCAATATTTCTGGACTAACACTTAGACATTCCCAATTTAAAATCATTGGTACATGTAAAGCTTCTGACTCTCATACGTCATGGTATGGACGGGATTTACAGAATATTAGAGAAAAATTGACATTGAATTTAGAATAGAGAATAACAACCTAAAAATTAAAATAAACAGAAATGAAGACCCCCATCAAACCAGACATTCATAACCGAATGAGAAATTAAGTTTGAAATGAAAAAAAGATTGTAGGGACAAAAGATATATATAACAATATCGAGAGAAACAACACATTTGATGTGTACTGATTGATATTTTGTCTCGGTCACATGTTTTTTTATTATTTTGTTATTGGCTTTGAAATAACTGTATGCAACTGTGGGTACTCCCAGATCAGTACTCTGGGTCTAAGTTTTAGCTAAAATCCCGCAATTATGAATACTGGCTGAAATACATTATATTATACATCATTGCGACAGCAACCCAACTACACAAAAAATACAAGAGATGTCATTCAACACAACTTCTCAGATGAACAATAGACATGTGACGTGTCTATACAAAATTTCAAGCTCTTAAAAGGGTATTAACTGTCAACTTCATGATCACTGATTTGATTTAAATTCTCATATTTGATTTATAACCTACTAAAACATTTATCTAAATTTAAAGAAAATCCCAAGGAAACAATTACCAATTCATGGGCTCGTTATAATGTATCAGCATTTGGTGCGTATTTTAGACTAGACGCCATCTAATAAACCATCGAGTTGACCTCCTTCGACTGCCAACGGTCATGCGATCTGATATAAACATAAAAAGAAAGACAAATAAACAGACAAGCACATGCAATCGTATAATTTAATTTTTTTTTTAGGTCTGTTTGATTTTATGTCATAGTTTAAAAATGTAAATCATCGTTTTACCTTTAAATGAATGATTTTTTTTGGTGGTCCGAATCAGTCAACGAAATGGTTTCTCCTGGTTGCTGTTTCACTTTTCAAAGTTCTTTTCTTTCTAATAACTGAACACGATTAGCATATGCGTAAACCATCTCCAGCCAATTGTAAAATTAAAGTTTGCATGAAAACGGATTCAACTGATGATGGAATTATTGACTTGAAAGCCAATAATACATTAGCAATTTTTTTTAGCTTATTTTAACAAAATTGAACCAAACTCACTGCTAATAGCGAAAGATCATTTCAACATTTCGCTTTTATAAATGGTTAAAAAAAACATATTATATGATTTTCTCTAAATCGTGGCTAATATCCCTTTAATCGCACAAAGTTGCTATGAATTTAAGCGAAACTTATTTGCAAGCGACACCTAATTCCTTACAGTGCATTAAAACATTATGACATAACTGAAGGCAACCATGAGGAACCCGCATTTTATGGGGTTATTCTTTTTTATATCCTAATTTTGAAATTTTTTAACTTTTCTCGATTTTAATCTCAATCGTAGGAAAACCAAAAGGTACATACATTCAAGTACGTATACTTAAAATCAGTTTCGATAAAGCACTAAAACTCTTTGATACCAGTAATCTAATCAAATATGAAATTATCCATCAATTGCTGAAAACAAAAACCGTCATCTTATCACTGTTGACTGAAAACCGTCAATGATTAAGATTTTTTTCTGTATGTTTTACCATATATAAAGACTGTTCGTGGAGCTTCTTGTCTGTCTAATTAGAAGGTAAGACAATAACGTTCTACGTATCCATTTCCACAAATAAAGAATATTTTCTTATTTGTCCAACATATATTACACAATCTTTTTTTTTTATCTTAAACCACTTGTCAAGTAGAGTTCTGCTCTGTTTCCCATTTCCGGATATGAGATGTACGATCTCAGTTTCATCCTCAGCATAAATAAAACCACGAGAAATGACAGTTAAGCTGGTAACTTTTTTTCATTTCATCATCTTTGAAAGAAAATATTTCTTTTCCGTCAAGTGAAGTACCAACAACATTGGAATCTTTTGTTGTATGTACTAAATGTTTGTTTTTGAAATCAATAGCAAGACCGTTCAAATATGTACATTCCGTGTCAGTTGAGAAAGCGGTTTGCAACCCTATATCTTGTTTTCTATTTATTTTCATGATTCCGATTCCAACGATTATTTAAGGAATGACTGTAATATTTTTTCTGTCTATAAAGAAATAACATAAAAAATGTGGTGCACACTGAATAACGCGCGTAGCGGGTTATTTAACAGTGTGCACCACATTTTTTCTGTTATTTCGAATAGACAGAAAAAATATTACAATCATTCCTTATAATTTAATTATAAATTCCATTTTTAAGGAGTAAATCATGAAAAAAGTTGATAACGTCACGGTCACATGACAAAATTATGTCTATGAGCTTTAACAAAATTCTCTCAGCCAATCAGAAGACGTGTTACATCCAAAATTAAATTATATAAAGATAATGGTCATGAATACAAACACACCTATTATAAGAACATTTTAATTACGTTTGTTTCCCGACGTTCTGATCAAATATAACTCTATACCTCAGTAAAAAGAAATTTAGAATGTGTTATTTCCAGTCAATATGTTTGCGTTAATTGTTTTTTGAGAAAATCACATTCATATTTAGTTTTTGCTGTTGCTATATCGGTAACGGTCAGCTTGTTATTTTCGCATAGTACAATTGTCTGGTCTCAAATATACATTCCTCCTACATTTTACCCAGAAAGGTGCACAGTTTAACTTCTTTTCAACTGAAAAATGAAAAGAAGTGAACATTTTACAAGTTGGAAAACACAAATAATTTAATACAAGCCTTCCTTAATCTGTTACAGATTTATTGCGTTTCTCTACAACCTGTATTTCTCCTAATTTCTTCATTTCCATCAAATTTTGTAGTGTATTTTCCAAATGGAAATTTACTATAACGCCAGTGAAATGACGTAATAACTCTGCAGCATTATCGATTTCCGAATGCAATTCCTTTTTTGATTTTTGGATATGAATGAAGAGTTGTGTTTTCGAACCAAAAGATCGAATAAACGTTGAAATTCGGACAAAATCCTTGATACGATTTGAGAGTTTTTCGACAAAATCTAATTTTGACTCAAAATCGCCTTGGGTTTTACCTTCAATTGTCTTTAATTCTTTCAAAAATACAACCAATAAACTGTCTAATTTACTTTTAGCTGTATTAACTGAATCGATGACGGTACTTTCAATACTAGAAAACGATTTATTCAAAGTGTCTTTCAGGTCTTTTTGTAATATTTGTTCAGACCCTGATTTAATTTTAGTCCATTTTGCATCAAATGAATCTTTTTCGTCGTATTTTCTGGTTATGTCTTCAATCGCTTTTAAATCGACGCACTTCCTGTGTTGTAACGTTACACACAGTACGCAGCAAAGTTCTTCGTGATCAAAACAGTATGCCTCTACTACTTTAGAACTGTGAACGGGACAAACATCCGATATTTTACTAAAATCTATTCCACATTCATTGGTTGGAATACTCGCAATATCTACAAATTCGTGACTCATAGAAGATTTCATTAAACTGTGCATTTCACGACAATCATCACAAAAAGCTTCACTGCAATCACGACACCATTTCGTTGCGGAAATACATTTTTGTTTGCGTTTACAAGTATGACATTCTTGGGTTTGTTGCTCTTTCGAAGTTTCCAATAGAGAAGAGATGGTAAAATTATGTGGTAAAGCTTCAACCCACTTTGTAGTATCTAACTCTGGGTGTTCGGGCATGACAATAGTTCTACATACAGGACACATATAATTAGCGATTTTATGCCCGGAAAGGCGTTCAGTTGACAGAATATACTCACGAATACATTGAAAACAGAAAGTGTGTAAGCATGGTAGACTTCTAGGTGACTTCAGTTGCTCTAAACAGATAGAACATGTAAATATTTCCCTTTCTTCCACATGACCTGATGTCGCCATAACACCTGTACAGGTAAATAACTCCCCTGTCTGTACTGGTATACCTAGTACATAAATTATTGCTATATTAAGAAATGAGAAAATTATTCAGATTAATTGTTTGTGTTAAGGCTCTGGGCTAGATCAAGTCGATGAATATCTAAATAAATGGTGTTAATTAACATCAAATAAAAATGAAATTTAAGGGGAATTGGGATTGGAACGTACACACATAGGTAACGTTTCGGCTCGACATCACTAACAATATTTGAAGTGTATGGAAGGAAAATCAATCTTTTTGTACCGGTGACATGAGCCTTATTCTCTTTTTTTAATTCTACACAAGGAATCTCCAAGGTGTATAAGCTAAATGCCCTATCCACACGGTGAACCGATATCATCAATTGCCAGGTATTCCGTGTTATGAGATAACGATGCCCGGAATGAAGGTGTAATCATTCACCACCTGGGAATGCATTGGACTAATCGTTAAGTTGACTTACAAGAAGTTCTAGAAATTTTCCCAGCATTAGAAGTCAGACCAAATTACTTTGGTACTTATCATCGAAACAAATTGCTCACTCATAATTGATGGAATATTAACAAAATAGATTTTGCTCTTCGAATTTCATTTTTGAGTTGTTGTTCTTTTTTCTCAGGAAATGTTTTTTTCATATTATATTTCCTGAGAGAGAAAAACAAGTCTTGATGTGTTAAAAAGAGAACTATTGTATTACGGAATACCCCAGAAACACGCTCCCAAAGAGTTACTGGATGTAAACTTTTATTCCTTTACGTTATCTCAGATTAAAACAAAATACATTTATGGTTCAGCGATATCTGGCCACAGCTTTTATTCACAAAATAGATGCAACAATATATATACGTACATATAGATAGATGAATGATTACCGCAGATAATATAGCAACCTTGCAGATAGATTCTAGATAGATGGATATGTATAGAAGCACCGTGGGATACACGGGTGCTTGTAGATTAAATTTAGAATGCACCATGGGATACACAGGTGTAAATATCAAAAAACCTCAAATGTCACATTTTCATGAGTATAATATATATTATAATTCAGATTATATACAGCGAATTCTGCCATATTGACAGAGGACACAGATACTCTGACAACCGCCATAAATAGGGCGGTTCGCTGCAATGCTGTGAGCCAGATACCTTTAACAATCAATGTGAACAAATGATCTTAAACATATTTACATGCATGTATAAAGCAGCAACTAATAGCTATGGCAAAGCCAAAATATCAAAAAATTGTATTAAAACTATGATTATTTAGTATTTTTCTAAGTTGACTTTTAACCTATCTCAAGACCATGCAACCACACTGAACATTTAACAGATCCAGTCTTAAATTAACCCCACCTGGATGATCCCTTGCTACCACAAAGCTTGCTGGATACTAGATGATCAAAATATTCACAGGTTTTCCTACAATTCTTATATAGCTAATAGCTACATAAATATAGGAAGATATAAAATACAAAAATTTTAATACAAAATTTAATTAAATGCATAATCACTTCTGAACTATCTTTTACCCGTGGGTGCATCAGAACTTCAACTAATTAACCTCCTAATTCAGATCTGGTACGCAATCCATTGACAAGCTAAGGTGGTTGCTGCACCAATAAGAAACGAATGTGAACTATATATAAAAATTATGCACGTTAACTACCTGATTCTGAGGTCTTGAAGACCTCAATTGTGTATAATCATAAAAAGGTCTCTGATTAGGCGGTGCAAATGTTTGCCCATTAGGACAAGATATAGAAGGAAGACCAGCATTACTACGAATGCAAACATGGTTATAAAACAAGTTTTTCTGAAACAACCACCCTCATAATTAAAAGTATTACATTTCAGATCAGTTGTATTAACTTTTGAATCTGTGTTCATACTAACTGTAGTACTACCAGTACTTTGATGTTTGTTCTCTTGATTATCATTTATGTACAATAACCATAATTCTGAATCAACGGTAGCCCAGGAACTCGAAGGATCAAATGCTTTTCGTAAACGAAATTGCTCATAGTAAAATTTCTCGAAGAGGAAAGGTAACACCCGGCCACCGAAAGCTTGATTTTTGTCGAGCCTAGGTGGTCGAGTGGTCTAGCGCGCCGGGCATAGTGCAAGGCGATTTGGTGCCACGATATCTCAGTAGCATGAGTTCGAATCCCGGCCAGGGAAAAACAATAATTTGCTTCCGCAAATTTAAAGATCTAACATTGTTGGGCTGTTATTTAGACGAATTATATATATATAGTCTTCACTGGTTCAGACGTACTTATAATATAATTATTCCTGTGACTGCATCTTACATTAATTTGTAGGATCCTCTACAATAGATAATTCAGCTGATCTGTAACAATTCCATCTTCATGCCTTATATATCATGTACTGTGTTACGACGCTAAATAAAAACTGACGAGGAAAGGTAACACCCGGCCCCCGAAAGCTTTATTATAATAGAGCCTAGATGGTTGAGTGTTCTAGCGTGTCGGACATAGTGCAAGGTGATTTGGTGCCACGATATCTCAGTAGCATGAGTTCGAATCCCGGCCAGGGAAAACAAAAATTTGCTTCCGCAAATTTAAAGATCTAACATTGTTGTGCTGTTATTTAGACGAATTATATATATATAGTCGTCACTGGTTCAGACGTACTTATAATATAAATATTTCTGTGACTGCATCTTACATTAGTTTGTAGGATCCTTTACAATAGATAATTCAGCTGATCTGTAGCAATTCCATCTTCATGCCTTATATATCATGTACTGTGTTACGACGCTAAATAAAAACTGACGAGGAAAGGTAACATCCGGCCCACGAAAACTTTATTATAATAGAGCCTAGATGGTCGAGTGGTCTAGCGTGTCGGACATAGTGCAAGGCGATTTGGTGCCACGATATCTCAGTAGCATGAGTTCGAATCCCGGCCAGGGAAGTACAAAAAATTTGCTTCCGCAACGTTCAAACCTATGATTGCGTTGGATAAACACCGCAATTTTTATACGTGTGCATGTAAAACAAATTTCTTGGTAGAGGGGTCTAAATACAGCACAAGCAACATTTTCGAAAAGACCAACAAAGTGAAAAAGTATATGTTCACAAAGCGCATTTGACTAACAGGTCGAACAACTGATGTTCTTAAACCTTTCTGACTGCCATTGGCGATTGCCAAATAAACTGATCACCAGATGTAACAAAATGGATCTTAATATTAATTTAATATCAAACAGAAAACAATAAACTTGCGGCAAAGATGATATACCACAAACATGAGGTGCAAAAATTAGTATACCATATCCGGATTTCGACAATTAATGTCTCTTCAGTGATGTTAGGGATCGAAACGGTATTTGGAAGGCCATATAATTTACCTCAATTTAGGATAGACTCATGAATTTTGAAGAGTCGAAATAGGATGAACGGATCATATAAACCCAAAGGAAAATATAATACAAGCCCAAACAAAAAAATATAAACAAGTCTTAATTGAAAACAACGTTCAAACCTATGATTACGTTGGATAAAAACCGCAATTTTTATACGTGTGCATGTAAAACAAATTTCTTGGTAGAGGGGTCTAAATACAGTACAAACAACATTTTCCAAAAGACCAAAAAAGTGAAAAGGTATATTTTAACAAAACGCATTTGACTAGCAGGTCGAACAACGGATGTTCTTAAACCCTACTGATTGCCATTGGCGATTGCCAAATAAATTGATCACCAGATGTAACGAAATGGATCTTAATATTAATTTAATACCAAACAGAAAACAATAAACTTGCGGAAAAGATGGTATACCGCAAACAAAAGGTGCAAAAATTAGTACACCATATCCGGATTTCGACAATTAATGTCTCTTCAGTGATACATATATTTATATATATGCAGCTAGATCAGAAAAGTTCAGGGAAAAAATTCCAAAAGAAAAAATCAAATGCAAACGGACCTTATCCACATGTAAACATTGATTGTGAAGAGACCACAAAAACATGTACAAACATCGAGACGACCATTTCTTAAAATGGTAATAAGGTACCTACTTTATAAAAATATTTATCTTTAATTTTTGAAACTACACAGACATATTTGTAAATTATTATATTCAAGAAAAGACAATACTTCTATATTGAATGTTAACGTGAAAAAAGCAAACCGGTGTACTCGAAAACTAAGATGTAAAAAAATAAGTATCTTTTTTATAGGATAATGTAACATGCTAAGGGCTTTGTGGAACACTCCGAAAATTGGTGGACGAAAGATCTTTAAATTTTGTATGTATATGATTTTTTCCAAATGTTTTATCAATATGCAGCAAAGATTAACATTTTTTAGATTTCAGTTTCACAAGCTTCTAATACAATTATCACGATAAATTCTTAACATAAAAAATCGTGCATTTGCATGCTTATTTCTAATACAAACAATTTCTTTAAAATATACAATTGTTGAGAAATAACTTTTGATCTGTATCGTCACCTGCATTGTTTTGTTTTTGATTTTGTCGATTTTTTCATTAGAAGTGTGAATTTTCTTTTGTTCTCGTTTACTATATTTCCAACTGTTTCTTATATCCATAAGCAGGTCGGTCTGTTTATACAATGAACATTTACAGTATGAATGTATCTTTACCGAATAAAATCACGTATTTGAATAAAAAAAAAAACATTAAACAATTTCACGCAGTGTCAGTAAATTTACATAAATGAAAAGTGGTCAAACGCTTGTTATTTTTTTTCATTTATACGGTCAGATTTTTTTCCCTAACGAAATATACATATATTCTGTAATTATTTGGCAATTTAACCCTTTCTGAAACCATAGTTTAAATACAGATTATTTTCAATCGGTACCAGTGGTTCGATTTATCAGATAGAGCTAGTTAAATTGTCAAAAATAAAGTCCGAGTAACAATATATGTAAGAATCTGTTTCTCTAATGATTTTCAAAAACATGTTCATGTTTGATAAACAAAAATTCCCTTCGAATGCCTTCCACACTCCTGATTTATGCGTCCTACGCTTACAAAATTTATTTTGATGAACATTTTTGTGGATTGTTTAAGGCAATTACATTATTATAAGGAAAATTAACGGGAGATCATACAGGAGCGAACATTTTTTTTTATATATATTTCATCAATATATTTTATGAGTAACCGATTCGGTTCAAGACAAATTGTTCTGTGAAAAATCTTGTGGTTATCAGTAATTCATCTTAGGGATCAGTCCAATGCATCCCCATGTGGTGGATGGGGACACTTTCATTCAGGATATCGTAATGTCATAACACAGAAAGCCATTTGCTCATATCGGTTCACAGATGTGTGTAGAGCCAAGGCTATGCACATTGTAGAGACCTTTTGTAGAATTCTTAAACATAATAAGCCACATGTCACATTTAAAAAAAAGCATGATTTTTCGTCCATAAAAAAAACCACTTCAATATTTCTTGTGATGTCGAGCCGAAATATGTTATCTATTTGTTTTCCAGTCCCAACCCCAAACGCCTTTCATTTCATTTTAAATTGATCTTAATTTGTATCATTCATGTGGATATTTATCGCATCGATCGAACAGTTTTTACTGCTAGTGCCTAAACACATCTTAATAATTTACCTACCTCATTGAAATTTATTTTTAGGTATAAAGAACGGATAGCTATCATTTATGTAATAGGTACACCCGTAAATACAAGGAAATTGTTTACCTGTATGAGTATTATGGCGACATCAGGTCATGAGAAAGAAAAGGAAATATTTACATGTTGTATCTGTTTAGAGCAACTTAAGTCACCTAGTAGTCTACCTTGTCTTCACACTTTCTGCTTCCAATGTATCAGTGAGTATATCCTATCAACTGAACGACGTTCCGGGCATAAACTCTTAAATTACACGTGTCCTGTATGTAGAATAACTGTCACACCCTCAAATGTAGAAACAGATACCACACAGTGGATTAAATCCTTACAACGTAATTTGACTATCTCTCCTCTAATAGAAACCACAAAAGAACCGCAAAACCAAGAGTGTCATATCTGTAAGAGAAAAAAGAAACATATTTCTGCGACGAAATGGTGTCGTGACTGTACAGAAGCCTATTGTGACGACTGTTGCGACACGCATAGTTTCATAACATCTTTGACTAATCACAAAGTTGTAGACATCAAAAGTATTCAGACAAATGAAGAAGAAATCGATTTGTTTAAAATATCAGATTCTTGCCCCGTGCACAGTTCCAAAGTAATCGAGGCATATTGTTTTGATCACCTACAACTTTGCTGCGTACTGTGTGTAACGTATCAACATAGGCAGTGTAAAGATGTTCAGGCCATTGAAGACCTAACCAGCAAAAAAGATGACAGTTGTTCATTTGAATCGAACTTGACTGAAATTCAATCAGGTACTGAAAAATTGCTACAAGCACAAAAAGACGAGAAGATAACTTTGAAGAAATCGTTTTCCAGTATTGAAAGCATTGTTATCGATTCGGTAAATTCTGCTAAAAGTCAATTAGATAGTTTGTTGATTTCATTCTCGAAAGAGCTGAAGATGATGGAAGAGAAACATCAAGATAAAATAGACTCAAAGTTAGATATATTCGAAAAGCTTTTAAATGATATCATTGAGCTTCTCCGTATAACAACATATATTCGAGCTTACGGCTCAAAAACACATTTTTTTATTCATCTCCAAAAATCAAAAACGGAATTGATTTCAGAAATAGAAAAATCTGTAAAGTTATTATTCGAAATCCGTGTAGTGAAAACAACTGTTGATATTGAAAATGCACTTCATCGAATAATGAAATTAGAGCAAGTAGGGAAAGTACTTATTACAGAGGGAAAAAAAGAATTTGTAGCAGAATATATAGGGATACTTAGAGATCAATCGCATTTACATGCCAGCACTGTATTCCCGTATCTCCATTTGATAAAACGAAAATTGGTCCACGTGCTTTCTGAATATGATTTATTTGGGGGAGTGTGTATTTCAGACCAGACAATTGCATTATGCTGCCGATCGAAGAGTAGCTCAGGCAGTCAGCCATACCATCTGATTATTGTCGATGCATCAACAGGAAAAGTAATAAACGAATGTAAAATTCCAGATGGCACCAAAGGACTAACATATGATACATTGAATACGACATTGTATATTTCCAGCAGCAGTACCATTTACAGTGTTAGATGTGATCAGCAAATTATGCAACCAAGGTATATAAAACATACTGGTACTCAATATTATGGAGGAATTTGTATGAAAGACAATTACCTTTATGTGAACGTCGGGACTGAAATTAAGAAAATGAATTTAAATCAGAACAATGGATTGCAAGCAGCATTCTCAATAAATAGTTCAAATAAAAATCCAAGTGGATTTAACGCACTTACGATAGATTACAAGAACGGTCGTTTAATACATGCGTCCGAAAATGGTAATGTCGTTAGCACTTCACTGGATGGAAAGGAAATATTTTCTCATTACATGACAGGCACCACCAGCGTAGTCGTTAACTCTAATGGTTTTATTTTTGCCGGGTATAAACATGGGTATGTACGTTTGATATTGGAAGATGGGGAACAAGATAGAACCTTACTGGGCAAGTGCGATAAAATAAAAGAATTGCGTGATATCTGGTTGAACAAATCTGAAAATACTCTGTTTATTTGTGGAAATGAATATGTAGAACTTTATGATGTTACCTACTGAACAAACAGTTTACTCAAAAAACATTTCTTTCATATGAAAATGAATATGTAGAGAGATGAGAGAGATGGAAAACTTTAAATTTAATTTACCGTTGCTTCAATGACAAGATAAGCTACGGTAAAGCATGTTTCGACAATATATTGTTATTTAATTAATGTATGTCCATAATTTATATAGTAACATCGAGTTTAACTTCTGTTTTGAAAGAAAGTACTTGATAACGGATAGATGAATATCATGTTATTGTTCAATGAAAAATCGGGAATAGCGGGAATGGTAATACACATAAAAATAATTAAATGTGGTATGATTGCCAATGAGACAACTATCCACCAAAGTTCAAATGAAGTGGATGTAAAACATGTTTATCAAAGGATATACACTTCTATGTTCCTAGTGTCTCTTTTATGTAGGACTGACAGAAAATTTACAAATGCCTGTCAGACACAGCATAAGACCGACTATGGTGTGGTTTTGAACAGCATTTTCACGATTTCTATCACCGAGAGTTTAGGAAGTTCAGATTTTATTTAAGTAAAAAAGTGGGATACACTAGAACGAGACAGCAACCCAACGACAAGAATACTCTGATACATCCTGATGCAACATACAGTATTCAACAATAGGCAGATGTCCACACAATATATCTAGCTCTAAAATGTCCTATAAAAGTCAGCAACCCAACGACAAGAATACTCTAATACATCCTGATGCAACATACAGTATTCAACAATAGGCAGATGTCCACACAATATGTCTAGCTCAAAAACGTCCTACAAAAGTCTATAAAAGTTGTGTTTGAATTTCACAATAAAAAATCAAAGACCCCCTGCCATGAACAATGCACTCTGCAAATATCGAAAACATTTATATAAAACTTACGACAACTACTAACAAGGTTCTTGACTTAGGACAGGCCCCTGAAAATATGGTGATTAAACTAGTTTTTGAGATTTCAACAACCTCTTTTTAAATCTCAATCAGTAGATCGACGAAACGTTCATAAAAGAAAATACATAAAAACCCAGACATGGAAAACACTTAACTCTTGGATAACGGTATAACAAACATCACAAATTGGTATTGAATACGGGATCGTTATATCAAAACGCAAATCTCAAATTTTATGGGTCATACTGTACTCTGAGTTAGTAATCTGCTATTGAGCTGATATAAAAAAGAAGATGTAAAACAATTCAAACGAGAAAACTAACGGCCTCATTTATGTACAAAAAATAAACAAAAAACAAATGTGTAACACATAAACAAACGACAACCACTGAATTACAGGCTCCTGACTTGGGACAGGCACATACATACAGAATGTGGCGGATTAAACATGTTAGCGGGATCCAAACCCTCCCCCTAACTTGGGACAGTGGTGAGACCATTTATGCTTATAAATTAAATGAATTCAGAGATTAAAAAAGAGATTTATGTTATAGTTATCCAATGAGGACGCGTTGTTTCAGTGTAAGATCACCCCGATGGCCGGAGGCCAGAAGGCGATCTTACACTGACACACCAAGTCCGAGTGGGATAACTATTTTACATCCCAGCTCTTCTAGACTATATAAAAAAACATTTACGCTTCATAAAATCTAGTTCAGAATGCCATACAATAACTATAATATACTTTATATATTACTATATATTATTTACCCTTTATGAGCCCCGGATACAATGTTTAATAAAGGCAACAGTAGTATACCGCTGTTCAAAAGTCATAAATGTATTAAGAGAAAAAAATCCGGGTTGCAAACTAAAACCGATGGAAATACATCAACTATAAGAGGAAAACAACGGAACAACAGAAACACTGAACTGCAACAAAAACAAACGCCAACAAACATAGAAACAGGACATTTTACGAAAAAATTGTGGGTTGAACCTGGTTTTATTGCTAGCCATACCTCCCGCTTATATGGCAATGTTAAAAAATATCGCTAAAAGGACAACACTATATGATAGGAATACATTACAAACAAACGATAGAACACTCAGCACAGAAAAATGCATAAATAATTAAAATAATAGTACATTACTACATGTAAACCACAGAATAACAACAGACATCTCCCATAAACAACAACACGAGACACCACAAACAGTGACGTATATATCTTAAAATTCATACAATTATTTGGAACGAGTTCCAAAAATTCACAATCATTTTCACAATACTAGTCCAAATTATTATCATAATTATGACGGCCATGAAAGGCTATTTTAAATTAATGCTGTGACGACGTCATAATTATTTGGACTAACACAATACTTTATCCATGGAAAATGGAAATTAACTCGACTATACTGACAAATAAGACATGTGAAATGTACCGAAAATACAGTATTCAAACCGTAAACGATAAGACATAACAAAATATCCAACAGAACTTACAAAAGAAGCAACATAACTAAATACATGAATGTTGGATGTATGAATATCGAGACACGTCGTATAGCAATGCGAATTTAAATGTGTTGAATTAACAGTAAGTTTATATCAATTCGTCCTGGTGTAGGTGTATGAATCGTGGCTTCATATGCTTAAGGTTTTGAGTTCGATTCCTCGCATAGCAACTGGAAATTTAGTGGATTTTTTCTACATAAATTTTGAGAGTTAGTCTTTATTCCGCATAGATATTTCTTAGTTTTATTGTGTTTTCAACATTCCCGCCAAAATATTACAGAACAAAAGAAAGCATGCAGAACAAAGAAACTCAAGGTAGGGTGATCTGGTAGGGGTGATCCGACTCAGATAACCCCTGTTAGAACAAAGGAGTTGGGATGTAAGGCAAGTGTTGATACCATTATGCCCAGATGTATATCGCCCCTAGTCTAGACTTGTTGTGAATGAGTTTATCAGGGTATCAAACAATGCCATCTACACTAAATTCTACACAAGGTATGACCACAGGGATAAAAATACAACCACAAGCGAGATTCTTGGCTTAGTAACTGCACATTTACACATAGGGCGGAGTTGTATATTAAAACATACACAATACCTTCGCAATAGTATCAAATGTCAGCAGATTTAGGGTTTGATGATGATGTAATGCATGTACTCAACTTCCATTTTTTTATCGATCACCAGTCTCTGCTTATAGACTAAAAACTTAATACGTCTCCAAAAAAAATATGCTTGAAACGATTTATCACGCCTAGGAATCTTCCTTGTCCCAACAAAAAATAATGAGCTTAAGTTAAATATGCGGTAGTTACCGTTTGTGTCATCAAGTTGTGCTAAAGTGAAGCATGGAGAAACAGACCTATGTGTAGAAAAATCTATTCCACATGCTAAAAAAATGTAAAATTGATTTACTTATTCTTTACTCAGATCTTTTGTTCGGTTCCTTTTCTTCTTCAACAACCACATCTAATTTCATGTAAAATTGATGCCACAATTACTTTTTAACTCACCTGGCCTAAAGGTCCAGTGTGAGCTTTCCCCATCACTTTGAGTTCGTTGTCTGTTGTCGTCGCCCGTCGTCCCTCAATTTTTTTGCAAAAATCATCTATTACACTACTTGGCCAGTTGGAACCAAACTTGGCCACAATCATGATTTGGGTATCTAGACTAAATATGTTTTCGATGATATCGCCTATCACCAAAATGACCGAAATGGCTACAAAAAGAACATAAGGGTTTATACAAGTTATGTAAATTATTTAGAAAACCGCTAGCGAAAGAGAAAATCTGTTTAAAATGTTAATATCTACCTTCTGTCCATTTTTCTTCAAAACTGTCAGACGACTTCTTATAGGGGACTTGTTGCCCTGAAATGACGATTTTTACCATTTTGTTGTGATTTTGTACATCATATCGAAAAATATGATAGATAGAGAGAAACTTTAAAAGCTAAAATGATCAGCAAGACAGGATCTACAAATACGTCTGCAAGGACGAAATCGTTAGTCAAATCCTTATTGGAGTTATTGTCCATTAATAACGAGTTTTACCTTTTTTTGCGCTTTTTTATCGTATTATTTGAAAACAATAGATAGAAACTATAAATAGCTAATTTGATCAGCAAGACAAGATGTACTAAATAATCCAGCATTGCAAATATCATCAGTCGACACCTTATGTCCTATTAATTTGAAAATATAATAGAAACTTTAAGTGGTAAAAATAATCCACAATGCAAGATCTACACAAAAGTCAATATTGCTGAAATCGTTGGTAAACTCTTTATAGTAGTTAGCGCCCTTAAATAACAATTTTCCCCCTATTTATTGGCATTTTGCCTATTATCTTGAAAACATACCATAGATTGATTGATTGATTGATTGTTGTTTGCTTTACGCCGCATTAGCACAGAAAGGCTATATCGCGGCGAGAGTATACCACAGATAGGTAGTACTTTAAAAGCAAATATTATCACCAAGACAAGATCTTAAAATAGGTCAGCATAGATGAAATTGTCATTTGTCTTCTTATATAGGAGTTATTACCCGTATATTGCAATTTTTACCCTTATTTGTGTTTTAGGCAAGAACTATAGAAGACAGAAAGAAACTAAAAAAACTATCAACAATATAAGACCAACAAAACGAGATTTTAGTCAGAATTATATTCTAGTCCACACTGTTGGAGAGCGTCCATTGCTGAAGATGTATATATACTTAGGTGAGCAACACATGTGCAGGCTCTTTAGCGCCTCTAGTTTTAAAACGTCTGTACTCTGTCAAACACGATTTGTATGACACAGAAACAAACTAAGGAAAAGACACATACTACTAGTATTCTATTTGCATGTATCACGGTGCGAAGCTATTTGTTTATTCACGCGATCTTGAAATTATTACGTAACAGATATAGGTTTTCATTGTTTGCCTGTTCATGAGGGAAAGATTCTTTTAGCTAGAATGAGATATATAACTGGGAACATGTCCCGGACAGGAGTAGTTATTGAATACGGACAGTGTGAGTACTAGTATTCAAGATCCGGTCTGATACCTGATCAATGAATAATTTGGCCTTTACTGGTTTAACTTGCTATATAATGTCGCGGTAATTCATATAGATAAATAAGAAGAGAGAAAAAGATATAAAGTTTCTGAGTGCTCATCTGGGTATTTATCATTACACCAACGCATAAAATACATATAGCTTCCAATGTTCTTGTCTATTGTAATAAAATACAAATATAATAGAATCTAAGTAATTACACTTTAAT